GGCCATTCTCCTGGGCAGATGAGAGATGGATGCCCTTGCATTTACTGCTGACAGGGCACCGAGCTTTGAAGGCCTTCTTGATTGCTGGCTGCTTGAAGATTGCAGCTTGCCAGCTGCATGGGCAGTTGATGATTATTTTGTCAACATTATTGCCCCATGCTTCTTTCAGATCTTTTTGAGAAACCAGGGCTTCCCTCACCACCAGGCTCTCCATGGCTTCTGGTCCCACGCATGGCTGCTCTCCTGGCAGCCTGAGTGTCCTGACTCTCCTGAGTGTCCTGACACTCTCAGATGAGAGAGGAGGAGCAGGGACCTGCACACAACTCAGCCTCATGCCCTACTTGTCTATGTGCTGGAGACAGTCTTTGTCCGTTGTGCGCCTCTGCGGAGCTGTAGAAAGAGCAAGGAAGAGCTTGTCAGAAGGAGGAAGCCTGCGTGCAAGGCTGTGTCACACCAGCCTGCCTTTGTCTGCCATCTCATCTTCCTTTGGAGCAGTTGGCGTGGCTGGGGATGGATCTGGGAGCTTTCCCAGCTGCCCATATCTGCAGTTAGCTAGTGAGGATGAAGGGGGAGTGCAGCCACCCCTATCTCATTTGTGCTTCAGGAAGGAGCAGCCAGGGGAATTTGAATGGGGCTGAGAAAAGAGGGAGAGAAAGTGAGCATGTGTGTGTGTGGAAAGGATTTGGAGGGGAGACAGTGGAAAGCAAAGCTAGCACTCGTGCGCTGAGCTGAGAAGTTGCTGAAGAAGCAGGACAAGTAAGAGTAGCAATAGTGAATAGCAGTACTGCAAAGCTGGATGCCTGCAGAGCAGTTCCTTTGCTCCGATCAGCTTGCTGGGGAATCTGCATGATTTTAATATACAGTTTCCTGGGGTTTCATGATGAAACAGGTTTTCCTTCTATTTTCTTTCTCAAAAAAGCATGCACAGCTGTCTAATGCACAGCTAGTTGTGAGACCGCACATGTAGCTATGCAGTCACACCAAATCCCAGGACAGGTAGGTTATTGTGGTCTTGTGAACCCATGTTCTGTTTGTTGAGCAGGACTGCAACACTATTGGCAGATGTATTCATTAATACCCTTTGGCTTTACTTTATCTAATATGTGACTGGCCTAAACACTGTTCGGTCTGAAAACAACATCCTTTTTTCCTTTAATAGCCTACATAAACAGAAAAAGTAGATGTGTCATACTTTGGACCCCTTTGCTGTAACAACATCCCAACTGGGATGGAAGCAGAGGGCATCCTGCTTTTCCCTCTGGGACTCTTGGTGTGTGTTCCTGGACAATGAGCAGACTCATCCAGCCACAGTGGGACAAGTATTCCCTATGTATCACGAGCCAGCTCAAATGGTAAGACAAGGGACTGGGCAGACAGTACCTACCAACAGAATGTGATGATCAAGAACAAGAAAGGACTCATCTAGTTTGCAGGTCCTGGAGTACATATAAGCACGAGAGCGTTCTCTCTCGATTGCTAATACTGCTTACAAGTAACAAAGGAAAGAGGTTCTAACTGTGCATGTGAATACATACATCTCACGCAGGGCTGATTTTACCCTTTGTAAGGCGTTTTTAGTGACCCTGTTCTGCAAGAACATTCTCCCCTCTGCAACCTGTGTGATATTCACAGGCAGCTGGTGGGAACAGTGGTTTTGGTTTATTTTTCCCTGTCCATCTCCTTCTGATTATTGGAAATGAAGAGAGGTGAAGGCAGAGCTGAGGCTGTGCATTGCGCAGTGTCCCATTGGCAGCATCCTGAGCCTGATGATGAATGAGCTTGTTGTGTAAGACCCTCCACTGAGGCTTCAGCATCTCTAATAAGGTGGCCAGTGTTTCACTGTCCTCTGCGCCTGCCTCTGCCTTATTAACTGCACTGCAGCAATATTAAGCTGGAGCACTGGGCCAGCATGATCAGAAGGAAAGAGGCTGAGAAGGAGTTGGAGGGAAGAAGATACCAGGATAGTGTGGGAGAAGAGGACACACAGAGCAGGAGAATGAGAGCACTGTGGGCTGTTAAGGCAGAGGATTAAAACACGGATTCCTGCTGGAGCGATGCATGCAGGTCTGCACAGAGCTGCTACTGGCAGTCAGCAAGGCAAAGGATGTTTAGGGAGGAGGGGGCAGGGCCAAACCTTGGTCTTAATGTCTCTGTCTGCTGGACCTGTGCTGGTGACTGCAAGCTGGCACCTGCTCCACATGCACACAGCAAGGGCTGGCTGGAGCTGTACCCTTTTTCTCCCTTGTGCTGATTTCATGCCCTTTAAACTCTGCTGGCAGGGCATCTGTCCCTTTCTCCTGACCACCGCAGCTAGCCCAGGGGAGTCATTTGGCTCATGCTGCTTTTCACTCAGAAAAGCCAGTCTTTGCAAAGACATCCTGGGCCAGTTGTGTCTGGATGCCAGGACTGTAGGACTGTAGTAGGGATGTGCAGAAGGCAGCGAGTTGCCCTGTCTGTCCAAGTTGCAGGTTGAATAGAGACAGGACACAGGCTGAGAGAAGAGGTGAGTCCGAAGTATTGTCCCAAGAGGAGGTATATGGCAGGGCCCAGCCCCCAGCTTCTGTTGGTGATCCAGGTCTCTCCTGGGAAGCAGGACAGTTGTGACCCATTGGGGGTGTGTATGTGCCTTTACAAATTTCCTTTTTCATAGCCAAGCCTGTGAGGCAGTCAGGTATTTATTTGCTTCACCTGTGTGCCCCTTAGGATATACTCAATTAGGGGATCTAGAGCTTTGCAGTCCAGACAGGAGGCTGATTTCTTGGTTTGTCCTGGATCAGGTGATGTGGGAGAGTAAGTGATTTGACATAGCTCCCAGAGGCTTTAGATACCCAAATTCCACCTAACTCCCAGCTGAGGTGGAATTTGCATTGTCTGAATCTCACCTCCAGGCTTCTGTCTGACAACCCATTTTGTTTCTCTTCTAAAGGTTATGTCTAGATGAGAGAAATGCCTCCTGACCTCCTCCTGTTTGCTGGCTGCCTTCTCCAACACCCCAGTGCATGGCAGTCTGTGGGGAGGAGCTACTGCCAGCCCCCCCAGTCACTCTCCGCTCCCCAAAATGCCCCATGCCAGGATCAGTACCACTCCAGCCTCCTGCTTCAGGCTTGTGACCCCTCCTCTCCTCCCACATAACTGGGGATGCGGTGCTAATGATCACAGCTGAGATCGCTGTTCCTGGGGCCAGCTCTGCTCCCACTTGGCAGAGCAGTGGTGCAGAGGGCTGGCAGATGGGACGGTTGAAGGGTAGGCATGCCAATTGGATCAGCACCCAGCTTGCATGCATGCAGATGGGGCGTTGTTAGTACGAATGGATTCTGGCAGCATCCCCATGACAAGTTCATGCTTGGTTCCCAGAGGCACTGTCCTTGTCCTGGCTGCTGGGACTGCTCCCAGGTGCCTTGTGGGAAGGCACTGGGCTAGGGGAAGGCACCGGAACAGTTCCCAGCCCTCTGACCTGTCTTGCCAAAGGGAGGAGGAGGACAAGGAGGGTGGAGAAGGCAGTTCCTCTAACAACATGCACCCTGATCTGTTCAGGTGCAAAGGTCTCTTTTAGGTACAGTCTAAGGCAGGTACAAAGGTTTTGTTCACTGTGAGAACCACATGCAGCAACACATTCCCAAGGGCCGGTCCCTGCCCAACACAATACCATGGCAGGATCTGGTCCTTTCACTTGGGAGTACTGTCCTAACCATGGGCAGATCAACCCAGGTGAGGAGGTGGGCTGTTGAGTCCTGGCCATGTTGGAAGTAAACAGAGCTTCTTCACAGGAAGCTCTCTATTGACAGCCATTTCTTTTGAGTCTGAGCTTAGTTATGTATGCTAAGGCTGGAGGCAGGCAGAGGAGGGATTGTGTGTGCTTTTTTCTGCCAAGCACATCTATATTGTTCCTCTGCCCTACCTTGCTGCTGATGGTCTTCACTGTGCCCTCACTCCATCTGCTTGCCCGCACTCTCCACACTTTTTTGTTGTAAACCTTCCTTCCTGTGTCTCTGTTCCAATAATCCTGCAACTTCAGAGTTAATGATGAAGACTGAGGCTGCCTGTCAGGAGAATTGCCTTTGCAGTGAAACCTGTCAGCCTAGAGGATACATTGGAGGCAGAGGAATGCTTAGTGGGGCACCAAATTCAAGTTCAGTGGGACAGTGAACACTGGGCCATGGAAAGCCCTGCTGAAGGTCTTTTTATCAGGACCAGCATCTCCAGTAAAATCTTGCCACAAAGATCCAGACACTGCACAGGCAGGAAATTGTATCTTCACAAAGCAGTCCTTATTCTTGTCTGTCCCCCGCCAAGCAAGCATGACCGTGGCAGGGAATTTTCACTGTCACATAATTCATCATTTTTAGTGGTGGTGTTTTTGACAACAATATTTTCCCCATTATTTTCTTGAAAATTCCATACTGCCTTAGCAAACTGAACAATGTTCAGCTAGCAAGGTTCAGCTCCTTCCAGCTGGCAACAGAGAAGGAGGGAGCCTATCCACTGACTTCAACTAGACCCCTTGCTCTGGTCTCTGAAGGGTGCTGAGGAAGCATGTCAGTAGACAGGTCCCAGCGAGGAACTACATTAAATGTCGTGGCAGCCAGGCAGCAAATGAATGAATTCTGCAGCACTGATTGTGAACTGAAAGGTATCTTAGCAAAATGTCATGCTGTGTGTGCACAGGATTTCAGTGCACTAATAGAGGTGAGTTGGGTTCATTCCTCCCCTCTTGGAGATATTGGTTCCAACCTGCAGTTGCTCTAGGACTTGTAGTTCAAGTTGTCCCCCAGTCAGAGCGACCCCAAGTCTTCCCTTCAAGGAGAGCTCAGGCTCCTGATCACTGGTTTGTACCACAGGTGAGAATTTTCAAAGTAATTCTGCATGAATATCTTATTAATAAACCAGGTGTACTTGTCTGTATAGGAAGAGGAGGAACAGGGTGTTAAGACAGTGGATAGGATCCCTCAAGTTTCCAGTTTCAGGATTTTCATAACATTATGGGTTCTTTTCCTATGCAGCTGGCTCAGAGAAACACCATCCAGACCTTCATTCCTGTGCAGAAAATGGAGAAAGGCCTGTTGCTGGAGCATGTCTTGCCCAACCTGAAAGTGCCTCAGAGCTATGAAGTTCGTCTGACACCCATCACCAGCTTTGGGGCTGGAGATATGGCTACCCGCATCATCCGGTACATGGAACGTAGGTGTCTCCTCCTCGGTCCTGGCTGCAAGAGCAGGTCTGAGCCTCAGGCCCAGGGACATGGGCATGCTTAGATGTTGTCTCCTGTGACCCTTAGGTGGATCTCTCTGCTCTATGAAGTTTTGATGGCACAGTGCTATCACATTTTATCACAGCAAAAACCATGTTTTGGTTGTTGCCATCAATGCAGAGCACTAGATAGAGACCTCTGAGGGTTTCTGTCCTTTACTCAGCAGTTCTGACTCACACTCTCCACTCTGTGGGCAGGAGAGCCCCAAAGCCCCTTTCCCCCATCAGGCCAGGCTGCAGCTTGCCATGGTACGGTGGCATATTTTAGAGGACAGTCACTGGACACTGCATATTAGCCACATGCCCATAAAAGTAAGAGGGTTTCAGGGTTTTTTCGGTTCTTTCCAGAGTTGAATGCACAGTTCACTAGTAAACCTGTAGGTCTCTCCAATACCTGAATCCCAGATCATCCCGATGGTATACATTGACCATGCTTCTTTCCCCAGCATCCCAACAACTCACAACTCCCCCTGTTCCCTCAACCCTCTGATTTCTTTACTCCCCTCAGAAGTTTGGACCCTCTATTTCAGCAGGAAGTACAGATCCCCCTCCTCCTGTGTTTGCATGATTTCACAAAACCCTCTTGTCCTGTGGAATGACGTCTGGTGTCCTCAGCATAGCTGTTGTCTCAGACTTCCACAGTGTCTCAAACTAATTTGATGACCCTCTTTGATACCAGACTGGGTGCTATCTCAGTGGTGCTCCAGAAACTGCTTGGGTTGCCATAAGGGTTCCCCTGTGCAATCCTGGGATCACCCCTTGGGTGGGGTTTTCTTAAGGTCTGTTACTGCTTGATTCACATTGAGCATCTTCTTCTATCACCAAGGCGGACACCAAGCACTTCTGTTTCACAGAGATGCTGCTAGGAACATCTATGACCCTTCTCGATGTGTTTATTTTCAGATTTTGTGATTTGAGGGAGTACTACCTGTTCTGACTTGTTGTTTTTCTGTTTCCTCTTCCAGCAATCAACTATCCCAACCCAACAGGTAAGTAGCAAGACCTCCTTTGTATTTATGTTTGGAATGTAATGCATGCTAGTCTTAAGTGCTCCAGCAGATCAGGAATACACAGCTGCCTTTGCCAAACCTTTTTCCCCAAAAGAGGATGAAATTGCATACATGAATACTTCCAGCATATAATGCCATTTTTTTGTACCTGGAGTTACTGCCAGAAGATATACACCAGAGATATGCCTCCCACTCACACCTCTTTGACTGTGTGATCTTGAACCCACCCTCCCCTTAACATTAGCAATCTGCATCCAGTAAGCATTTAAAGTTATGAAATGTTGCCCAAAATATCTGTATTTAAGCAATGTTTATCTCCCATCCTCTTCTGACCAGGAATGATACCACTTAACATCTCTGCAGGCTGACATCTCTGCAGTCTCCAGCTCAGATGTGGTTCCTCTTGCAAGCTCCTTGAGCACAGTCCCTTCCTTCTTCCCCTCAAGTGTCACCACTGTTTACTTGCTTATTTACCTTCTGGTCATTCCTGCCAAAATAAAGGCCCACCTTTATTGATCACCAAGAGTTCCCATTGATTTTAAAAGTAGAATGCACAATGTCTCAGAATCATGGTCTTTAACAAGAGTATGATGGTGCCCACAAAGCATAAAAGAGGATTTCTAGTATGCTTTAAGGACTGATGGAGTGATCTTCAGGGGAAGAAACAAAGCCCCTTTGCTTTGACTGCCAGATATGAGCCCAGCAAAAGCTCTTGAGCAGAGATAGGCAGACTACTTGCTTTTTGTCCATGGTGAACAGATGATTCCACGTAACTGATTCTTTCTCCTGTTTCCAGCTACTGAGTCAGCATTCAGTCTTTTTATCTATTATTCTGTATATGTATAGGCAAGCGCTACTGCTTCACTGCAGAGTGGCAGTGAGGAGAAGCCAGGGTTAGGCAATGGCAGCCAGGAATCAGGGGATGGTGTTATCTTGTTGAGACAGCCATGAGGCATTCACTCTTGCGAGTTCACACCCTGAGGGTAGTTGGATGAACCGTACCCTGCCTGAGAGCAGGAGCTTCTTACATAGTCAAAAGGATTTTGTGGCTCTGATTCCTGATTCCCTTTGCTTTGCTTTTCCCCACTTTCTGGGGAAAATTTAAATATTCTTCAGAATTCCCAGTGAGAAGACTCACTGGGAAACCCTGGGCCTATTGCCAGGCACACACTTCAGAACGTGTCCCTTGGTACTAGCTGGAGGAGGCAAACATCCCAGCCCGCACGTGGAACTGACAAAACCTGGCCTTTTGCCACTTGCTTTTACACTGCATAAATCACTGTGAAAGCCAGAGCAACTTCAGTCCTAATTGTGTCAGTCTCTTGGGGTCTTTGTAAACTAAGCCTTCGGTTTGCTCACCTAGGATTGCTGTGGCAGCTTGAGTGAGATGAGAACAACTGCATGAAATTTGCCTGTGGTGGAGCATAACCCAGCCACGCTTGTATTTTCATGCAGTAAATCCAACACTTTGAGTTTCTGTTTGATACAAGTTACCCAGCCTGTGGTATATATTAGGACATGGGTTCATGCCTTGAGATTGACTGCATAAAGACTTGTTTTCAAAGATGCCCCTTCCTTTTCATCTACTGCCAGTGGAATGTGAGCCCAAAGGCCTCTGGGCCACAGCTCAGTTCCCAGATTTTCATCCTAATACATGGAAATCCATGCTACTACCGCCTGTTTTCCCACTTCCCCTGCTATCACCACCTCCAGGGAAAAGACTTGGCACAGCATTGTAAAAGTATCTTCATGCTAGGCTGCCCAGCCAAATTCTGGGAGCAAACATTGAGAGCTCTCAAGTGAAAGGCAAAGATTAGATGATTAATGCCTCTGGCAGCCTGATCCAAGGGCATGCACAATGGTGATTAATTTACAAACTCTGAGAGTCACTTAATGCAATTATTTCTTCATGCATTTTCTTTCTCAGCCTAACAAGATGTTAATGACATTGGGCAGGCATGCATGTAGCATGGCTACAGAGCCAGGTAATGGGGTTATTAAGCAATAACAAAGTAAAAGCAGAGGGAGTGAACAAAAGACATTGAAGATTTCAAACATTTAGAGGTTAGTGGCAAGAGTGACTGTAACTCTTAAAAATCAGTTAATCTGGTTCTAAAAAAAAACCAGAATTTATCTTTAAAAAAACTGCCTTAGAATTATCTTAATTCTACAGTATTACCATAAAGATCTCTTTGAATAACTGATCATTGGAATGCCATGACCAAATTCCAGTGCTGGGCAATTCCCATTATCCTTCTTACTTTTCCCATGCAATTTCCTTTGGATATAGCCTTCACTTTCTAACCCAGACCTTGCAGTGCTGCCTAACAAGCTATTCCAGCTCATCAGCAGTGGATGGTTTGGTTTCCCTGGCTCTAGCAAGAAGTAGCCTTGCAACCTTGATGATGAAGGCATCAAGAAGCATATGGGTTTGTTGTTTGTTTTTCCTTTTGGCCAGTGTGTCTTGCCCTTCCAGAGCGGCAACACTATTTCTCATGTATCTGCAGTCTGGCTGTGTGTGGTGCTAAAATGTTCTGGGATCATGAAAAAGTACAGTGAGTGGTGATAAGTACCAGATGCTGGTTGTTGTAGATTATCCAAGGCTCCTTGCTTAATCTCTGGCGCTTGTGTGTCCCATCTCTGATAATGCCTCATAGTCCAGAGGAATCTGAGTTTTTTGCCCCATGAGCATGCGAGATTGAGATGTGAACCTGGTGTCCAGAGTTGGATTCCTCAAATCTGTGCCCATTCCTCAGGAATGTGTATAACAAGAAGGCGAAAAAAGGTGACTGCCACCAATTCCTGTATCCTGATAGGAAAGAGGACTGTATGGGCCATATTATCCCCTTGTTGCAGATGGAGATATTAAAGCAAATGGCAATCCAGTATGACCCAACCTGTTATGGTATTGTGAAGCTTGCTTCTATTACTGGTTAAAAATACTTTAGAAACTTACCACAGTAGATGCTTTTCCTTAGATCTCAGCATACATTGAGGTTGCAATACAGTTTTCATTGTCTTCATCATCTAGATGGGGAAACTGATCTCCAGAGGGAAAACGATAGCCTGTGGGTCACACAGCAAGTCTGCAACAGAGCTGAGGCTCGAAGCATGGTCCCTTATATTCCAAGCCAATTTCAGTCATCAGATCACAGCTAAACGACAAAGGCAATTTTATTCAAGTGCATTCTATCTGCTATTCACTCATGGTCTGCAGCTAGAACAGGATTATTGTTGTTTGTATTCGTCTGGCAGACAGTATTTTAGGTCCAGGGATGGCTTCTCCTTAAGGACTTTAAATGAAAACCTCCCTTATGTTTCTCAAGAAGGCAAAGTAACAACAAATACTAAAAGCCACATTGAAGGGTCTCTCCACAGGGCATGCAGGGAGGTGTCTGTAACCGGGAGCAAACACCTCTGCACTTTGAGCTGCTGCCACTGAAAAGCCTGCCAAGGAAATCTGTTTGGTGAAGACAGCACTAACTCCAACCTTTGAGGAGCCAGTTCCCCTGCCACCTCCACCTCGCCTCTGACAATCCAGAGAACAACTTCTGTGTTCAATATTTAAATCCACTGTTTAGTTTTTAAACGGGAAGCTTCCTTTGCACCACAGTGCTGAGCCAGGATCCCTGGCAGATGGTGTGAGTCTGCAGGAAGGTCTGCTTCGCACAGCCGAGGTCAACAGTTAGATCACCACTGTGGCCTCTGAGACACCCAGCAGGTCAGTTAAAGGTTTTCTTTGCAGCTGTATCTGCCAGGTTTCCCCTTGTGAGCCTTACTCGTAAGTCCAGAGCTAATGTGCTGGCAGTAGTCCTAAACCACACCAAACATCTCTCAGTTATTCTGGGCACCTTCACTTCTAGCTCAGAGAAATGCCAGAGCTTTGCCTTCCTGTGGCTTGTTTTAAACCAAAGGACCAGGAGTCAGAGCACTTGGATTCTGTTTACAGTTTTGGCACTGCCTTCTGTGACCTTAAATGTGCTTCTCTATACTTTTGTGCATCTGTTTCCCTGTGTGTAATGCAGGAGATTTATAGAAAGAGGCATTACTACCTCATAGAGATGTTAAGAAGCCTTGTTCATTAGTCGTTGCAAAGTGCCTTGAGATCCCAACTTAAGCAGAGGCAATGTGCTGTAGTTACAAACTCCTGCACAGCAAATGGTGCTGCACATAAGCTTGATCACATTGTAGTAGCTGTGGGATATCTAGGACCCTTTTCTACTTTCTGATCTCTACCTCCTCTAAGTAGCTGCATCTGAATGAGAGGAGAGGATGGAGTCAGCGCCCTGTTTTGGCATTAGAAGAGCTCTCTTCAAGCTTTTAAGTCTTCTTCTATGAGCAGTCTTCTCCCATGGGTGTAGGGGATTTCTTACAAGTGAAGCAGATGACACAACCAGGCCTCGACAGTAGGCTGGGAATACTGTCCTCAGTCCTCTTGTCTTGCACAGCTCTCTGATTTCCACCTGAGCCTGGACTTTCTTTTGGTTTCTGTGCCTTGTCATTTAAGGGTTTACTCCTTCTCAATCAGTTGCCTGGCTGGCCTCTGTGTTAGAACTTTATTCCTTGTTACGGGAATTTTGTGCTAGAGAAAGATGTCTCCTTTCTCCTCTGAAGGTCCCAGGTGCAAACCATCACAGTCCCTTTGACTGAAAAAGGACATTCATGGTGGATCCTGCTGGGTAGGATAATGACATCATAAGAGAAAACTTGTGTCTTTTAAACGAAATGTAGCTGGCAACCTATGAGCTGGAGCCACACAAATGTTTGTTTTGATGGAAAGAAGTCAGGGGCATTACAGCAACACAGAAATAACAGAAAGCTTTTGGGCTCCGGACCATCCTCTGAGGAGCAGTGGGTGTCTGATACAGCCACAAGCTCCCTTCTCTCAGCCATGAGAGCTGGGGAAGGACACTTAGAAGCTGATTTCTCACTCTTTTCTCCCCATCCCGTGTAGCTGCCCCACCTCAGACCCTGCCAGCATCTGTCCTGTCATCTGCTTCCCCCTCCTCCCTCCTCCTTCATCTCCAGCTGCCGTGTGACCCTCTGTGCTCAGCGCTGCAGAGCAGTGGCTAATTTGGATTAGGAAGCTAATTAGAAATGAGGGGACTGTACAGAAAGCACTTAGCCAGGGTTAATCAGCAGTTAAGTGGCCGGCCCAGCCGAGCTCCCAATGGCTGTACTCAGCTCGCAGGAGCAGCATTTCCCCCTGAGCTTACAGAAAACCCAGCTGCCCTGGTCCATGAACCGAGCCCTTGGCTTGCAGCACAGTGCCCAACCTATGGTGGCAAAGACCTTTATCTGAGCCATAGCAGGAGGCTGCCTCCACTTTTCTCACAGCTTTGGTGGGATGCTGGACAACGACAGGCAAGAAGGGGAGCCCACTTTCCTACCACAGGGGTGTGCAGGCTGTTGATTTGTTTGGATGATGGTTGATCTGTTTGGATGATTTGTTTGGATTTTCATTTCCAAATGAGAGGGGATGCAGAGGGCCTTTGCTGCAGAGTAGGAACCAGGAGGTGTAGCATCTCAGAGTCAAGATGCTGTTCATTCGTGGGTGGTCTTTCCTCTCTGGTACAAGATGGCAGATTTTGGTGTGCATGGGTAGGTGTGTGAAATTTCTACATCACAAAGTTCCACGTTGAGAGCTTTTGGCCCTGGCATTACAGAAAGCCCTACATGTTTTGCCAGTCACCCATGCTAGGACAGAGAGCTTCCTGCCCAGGAACCAGAGCAAACCATCAATGAAGATACAGGAGCCCAAGTAGACATTTGGGCTTCTCTTCATCTGGGCATGATAGCAGGAACAGTGAGGGGGGTAAACCCCAGCAAGTTGAACCTTGTACCAGCATGCCATGGATGAGGTTTCTAGCACTTCCCAAGCCTTTAGCAAAAGCCTTGATTTTCTCTCTGTATGTGTTCTTCCAGGGGTTTTTGAGTACTTTATCTTTCAGTTTCAGAGCACACATCCTTGCTTTTACATAAAGGCAGAAGGCAGAGATCTGTACTTACTGTGTCTGCACCAGTCATGAGGTCTGAGATCCCACTCTCAGCCCATTCTCCAGCTCTGCTTTTTGCCCAGGGACCTTTCAGAGCACAAAGCACTTTTCACATCAGGTCTTGGACCAGTTTTCTCTTCCGCCTGTTTCCTCCATTTTTCTCCTACTGTGTCTGCAGTGTAAACCTGGTTCTTGGCCTTTTTTCTCTGTGGCTTGGGAACTACTTTTTTATCGCAGAGGTTACCATCTTCAGTCTGGTTGTCCTGGGTTCAGCAGTAGCAGTCATTTTTCCCCTTCTTGGTAGCTGGTGCAGTGCAATGTTTTGACTTTCAGCTCGGGAACGGAGCTGATAACAAGCGATGTTTTGGTTTGGCCAAGGACTTTGTGAGCCTCATGCTCTGCCAGGGAGGAGGGGAAGCTGACCCAAACTGACCAAAGAGGTATTCCATACCACAGCACGTCAGGCCCAGGATGTAACTGGGAGTTACCCGGAAGGGCTGGGAGACTGCAGGGTTGGATCGCAGAGGTTGGTGGTGAGATGATGTATTCTCTTCCCTTGTTATTTCCTTTATCATTATTATCACTGGTGGTAGCAGTAGTGATCTGTGTTATACCTTAGTTACTAAACTGTCCAACCCGTTCATTCCAATCTCTGCAGAGACGATATTACCTGACTGGGTTTAAACCACGACACTGGTCAAGTCCAATTCATTCCAATCTCTGCAAGACGATATTGGGTTACGACTATGCACAAGATTTTTCACCTGTCTTACAATATTGCTGTAGGGTGTAACTGTCTTGTGGTAGTAATAAAAGCAAGCCCTGCTGCACACGTGGTTGATCCTACATAAAAATCTTTTACCTACATGACTTATTTTGTTAGGGGAACCAGCATAATTTGCAATATCAAATGTGCCTTTTAGCTGGTATAAATTGGATATACTCTAGCTAAATGACACATTCATAGCGCTGAGCTGACCTCTTCTCCACAGCTGAATTTTTTTCATGTGCACCATAGTTTAGTTAAATATATAGCCCAAAGGGGGGTCGTCTGCTGGAAGTTTTTATGCTCTCCTGGGGAAATTATTCTATCATCAAGTTGTTCTGGTTGAAAAGCCTCTGTGGCCTGTTTGCCCTCAATGGTTTTTTTTTTACCCTCCTCTATGTTTGCCCCTTCAGACCTCCCAGCAGAATCTCTCTTTCTCTTTAGCCTTCTTCCATTTTGTCAAACCAACACATCCATCAACCTGGAATTAAGCCTTCCATAATCATACTAATCATGGATATATTCCTTTTCAGCCTCCTCCTGGGGTTGGGGGCTGCCCATCTGTCCCCAGCTTGATGCAGAACCTCAGTGGTGATGTAGCAGTGCTGTGAGACACGCTGCAGGCACCCAGGCACCCCTGGGGAGGAGGTTTGAGAAGCGGCAGCTGACCACCCCATTCCATTCCCCACAGATAATACTTGCCGCTTTGAGGATGAGAAGATCTGCGGCTTCATGCAGGACAAGATGGACAACTTTGACTGGACCCGGCAGAACGCCCTGACGCAGAACCCCAAGCGCACGGTCAACACGGGGCCCCCCACAGACATAAGTGGTACGCCGGAGGGTAAGCACACATTTGGAGTTCTTTTGGCTTGGCTGTGGAGGCGAGATGTAGGCCGTTGCTCATCCGGAGTCTTACAGCTCTGGGAGCTGGTGGAGTTCTGATCTGCTTTCCACACAACACAGGGTGCAGGGAGCAAGCAGTTAATTTGCATGTTACTGATTGGCATTAAACACACAATTAAAACACCCACGACTTTGTTTAAGGGAATAGTGTGAGCATTAGTTCTTGTTACCATCTAATTGCCTACTGCCTAATTTCCTTGTCCCATCTGATGCTTAGTGTGAAGTCAGAAAAGGATGAGCAAATAGGAGAACATCACTAACAACTAGAAACCATAATGCTGGTTTTAGACAGATGTTTCTTAAAGAAGGTCTTGTGGAGGCAGACAGATCTCCTTAGTACCAAGCAGGAGCATGAGAGACCAGGTGGGAACTGCCTGTGGGGTGGCAGCATATGCCTCACCTCTAGCTGGAAGGGGCTGCTGTCTTGTATTGCTCATGCTAGCTGTGCACAGAGTACATGCCCCCATTTCAGCTGGGCATTACTTTCCCCTTTCTCTAATGAGGAGAGTAAATTTGTATGCAAGCACAAACTCTGAACTCAGAAAAAATGGGAAACATCCAATGGCCAGATAAGGAAATGGCTTTTCCCATTAGTGTTCAGTAGACCAGCCTGATTGAGCATTGAAAACTATGCCAACAAATCAAATAGCTAATCTGTTCTTCCCTGAGTTGTTAACAACTACCTTGGTATTGTTCTCTTTAGACAACAATGTTGTTTAGGCCAGATATACTGAATACTCACTCCCTCAGCTTGAGGCAGAGAAATTAGGCTGCAGTGTTTTCTCACTTGTTTTTCTGGTTTTCTCCTTACATGGTGCAGTCAGCTCTGGGGCTCCTCATACTGCAGGAGAAAGGCTCGTTTTGCATCCAGACAGATGTGTGTGCACATGTTCAAGCACTCATCTGCTGCATGACCTCACAGAGTGTCTGCTGGCACCCATCCTAAATCCTGCTCTCCTAAATACTGCAGAGGGGAGGCACTGCAAACATCCTGCAAGTGTCTGTGGCTGGGATCACAGTGGGTGCAGAGCCGATGAGGAGAGCCAGGCCATGTCTCTGAGAGGAGGAGTGGTGTCCCAGCCTCCTGCATCCCATCACTTGCAGGAAGGGAGAAGCGGTGCCTTTCCCCACCTTTCCCTCTTGCTCTGCAGGTTATTACATGTTCATCGAGGCATCCCGGCCCCGGGTCACAGGAGACAAAGCCCGGCTCATCAGCCCCCTCTACAACATTACTGCCAAGTATTACTGTGTCTCCTTCTACTACCACATGTACGGGAAGCACATCGGTGAGTACCCTCTAGGGAAGAAAGGTAAATAGTGCAGGCTGTTGGGGGAGACCTTGTGCCTGCAGCCAGCAATTCAGGAGGGTGGGAGTCCTGTTCCAGTGCTCGAAGAACCAGGGTGGGATGCTGCTGTCAGATACTTGTCCTTTACCCACACACTAGCGGTGTCAGGGTTGTGAGGCTGTTGCAGCCTATCCTCAGGGCAGTATCTTGCAGTCAGCCATCACCCCTTCCCCTCTGGCTCAATCCTCCTCTACTATAAGGCTCCCTGCTCTCCACAGAAAAGAGCATTGTACCCATGTGTGTACATTTTCCCCGCTCATGGCCACAGCCACCTTGCTCCAGGCAGCAGAACACCAGGTGAACAGTCCGTCCATTGGAAGGGAGACAGAAGTGAAGGGGCTATGTGGGAGCAGAGAGCTCTCTGGTGGCTGCAGCTATTTTGGGGTGGGCAGGATTCATGTTCCTTCAGCTGTGCCAAGGGTCTCTCTGCTCTGCCTGACTCCCTCCTCTCTAACTGCAGCAAGCGCCCCAGAAGCGCCTGGCACACTAATGAGTTTCCATATCCAGTCAAGGAGCAATTGCTAATTCGTCACCTCTTGATTATAATTTCATTAATTTGAATAATAGATGCACTCTTCCCAGGGCACACTGGGTTATTAATCACCTGCTGGACCGGAGCCTGACTGAAAAATCAGGGCCCAGGCAAGAATGTGTCCGCCCTTCAGTAAATGGGGTTAATTAAGAGTTCTCTGCTCAGCACCATTGATGTCACTGGGAGGGAACATGCTCCCAAGTCTGGCCATCACATCTCTGCACGTGTGTGGCATGGCAGAGAGGTTAAGCTGCAAAATTTGGGATCTCCTTCTCTCAGTGGGGTTGAGGCTGAAACCCTGACCCCATGGATGCCAGGGGGTAAGGGCTGGGCTGCGGGTCACTGAGCAGGTCTGCATCTCTGTGTTTGGTCTGAGGGTTGGGTTCATATTTGCTGTCTGCACTCAGAGTCTGGCTAAGTCAGAGATGTTTGCATCACCTGTATTCCCCCTACAGCCAGGCTGCTCCGTGCTGTCTTCATGTGGTGGCAGGTTGCTCAGGCAGAGCACTGGCAGTATAGGTGCACACTGGGTTTTCCTGGTCTTGCTCAGCTGACAGAATCCACTTGTAAATGCTGGCTGGTAAATTCCCTTGCTCCCTGCAGTTGCCTGCCATGGTCAGTCAATTGCTGCCCAATTCCTACATGTCTTCCCCTGGAGGCTTTGAAAGGGATCTCATCTTTGTGATTGCAATGAAAGGTGGCCCAAACCAGTGGGAGACTGGCAAGGAAATAAGGTATGGAAGGAAGAGGCTTCTTTTGCTTTGTTTCCTTTAGGAATACAGCTATGTGTCATATTTCCAAGTTCCTGAGGAAAGTAAAAGCCCATTAGCTTTTTCTTCCTTTTGAAACAAAGCTCTGTTTTACAGCTCTGGTGTGGTGGTCTGTCTGTAGATGGGGTGGAGTGAACATGACAGGGAATTAATTCATTACACGTTTTTGGCTTTTAGCATTTTAACTCTTTATTCATTTGCTCCACCCACAAATTGCCCAGAGCAAAAGATACAGTGACTCCCAAGACCTTAGAAAGCCGTGGAGTGCAATCCTCTATTCCTTGGCTTCAGGCACCTTTTATACCTGTTGATTTTCCCTTCATGCTCCATGTTGCTGCTCCTGCCTGCTCCTCATTATTCCCCTTGTTGCACGAGGGGACTGATGAATCTGTACAAGGTAGATAGACTCTTTAATGCCATACAACGATTTCCAGGGTGGATGCTGCCGAGCTGAGAGCAAATAAATTATTTAAAAATTAGACTGACTAGATAGAGTCAGGGAATGAAAGAGAAAGAAATGAGAAAGTTATTTTCCTCTTGGACTGTGGAACATGTGTGCTGGTCTTGCAAACCCACAATATATCTGCCTGCAAATTGAACTTCAGTACTTTGTATCAGCTCTCTACTCAGGAGAGTATATCTTTCAGGCCAGCCATGATATTCTGTAATTGTTTTGGCTTCTGTTCTACATATCAGGGCACCAAGGTGAAACTGAGACCTCTCCAGGAAAATTCAGAACGCCTGGTAATCCTAAAAATGCCTGGGTTTTAATATTCTCACTATGCTATTTACTAAATGTTATGCTACTTTTGGTTGTTTTCCTTACTGCCACGCTGGCAGCACTCTGGCGTAGTTGTCCTCATCCCTGCACATGCACGAACGAACCTGCATTTGGGACACGCTCTGTTTCACCAGCAGGTCTAATGGCTCATCTACATTTCTAATGCACTTTGGTTATTCCCTGGCTGGTTTTGCTTGTGTGGAGGTTGTGAAACCCTGCCAGAAAGCTTCGGTTTGTTCAGATGGCGCCAGGCTCTATCTATGCCCTTGGTGGCTGAAGGCCTCTCAGAGTTCCTGGGGAAGTGGCAGCCTGCCTAAGGGCAAAGCAAGTTTCTTCAGGTGGTCTTCTTTAGCCCTGGGTTGGAAGAGAGTGACCCTCTCAGATACAGCACTCCTTGCTAGGACTTCTCCTGTGAGATGAGGAGGCAGATCCTGGCCTTCTACCTGTATCGTATAAGCAGCCATACGAAGGGAAAGATGGGGTGACTACAGCCGTGGGCCATGTCCTACTCCCCACATAGCCAGTGGTATCTGATGCCTTCAGACACAGCCCCAACCCCTGTCTGACCCCATGCCAGCCCAGTGCTGTCAAGCCAGATGCCATCCCAGCTGAGCCAGCCACAGCACTTAGCAAGAGCTACCTAGATTGCTCCTCTTGGCAATGGGACATCTTCCAGATCGAGCCTCTCCTAGCAGCTCCAACTCCACTGTGGAGCAAACCAAAGCTTTGTCACTATGAAAAGAAGCTGTATAAAATCCTGACATTTATTTATTTTTTTAATAACCCTTTTATTACCTTTTTTTCCCCCTCTACAGAACTTGAAAGCTGGCTTACTCTCACAATTTGACTATAAAATATCCATAGCCATCCAGGCAAATCTTCCCTGGGAGAGTTCCCAGACACTACTCGTTTATAATAGATATGATGAAAGAGAGAAACAGAATACAAATGGAGCTTTTGTAGCCATGGCATAAGATATTCAGCAAGTAGCAGAGCAGGGTGATGTTGAATATGAGAGAGCAGGGTGAAGGGGAGCTCCCTGGAGGCAATTCCCATTTTTCTGGAATTATCTGGCCATTGGTTTTTCTTCCTCTAGCATCCTCCAGAGCAAGCATTTGTATTGCCCTACGATCCTGCCAGCCCAAACACAAAAATCAGGGGGAGTGGAAGGAAAGAAATCCTGTTTCCATGAGGTATTCAAAACCAAGGGTGTCTTACTTGCAGAAGTCATCAAATGAGGCATTGCTTGCTTTCTTCAGGAGAGGGAGTTAGCCGAAGCAGGCAGTGACCAGTCACCCAGTTCCAAAAGCCTCTTTGTCGAATCAGCTTGGTGAGTAAGCATTGAAGCTGAGAGCAGATCCTTGCTTCAGCCATGAGACTCCTCTTCCTCTCTTTCCAGGGCTGCCTACGCAGGGGATGCTTTGAAAGGACGGTGTTGTCCATGGGCTGCTCTCACTGCAGTCCTGGCTACCTCTCTCATGTCTCGTAGCTCAGTGGTAGACAACTTATGATCTGCACAGCCTCCTGCCTGCTGCTAGATGCTCTTGCAGGCCCTGCAGCAATAGAGGCCTGCAAGGAAGGTTGCTCAGAGGGAAGAGGAAATTTCAGTGGATTTAGCTTTTTGTGTAGCCAACTCTATAATAGCTTCCTATCTCATGAGCCAGTGACTGTGCTTGTGGGGAAAACATGTGAGTCAACAAGTTTATTTGCTCTCAGGAGTACCTACATAAAAGCAGTGATGTAGGATGTACCAAAGCAGCATTTTTTCAGATTACTTCTGATTTGCGAGCTTACTGGTAGACCCTTTTCAAACTATGTTTTCTGTGTTTTTAATAACAGTAGTCATTACATTCAGGCTTATGGTCTCAGAGAGGTGAAAAACCAAAGACATCTCCTTGCCCTGGGGTACTTACCAAGACAGGACTGTTCAGCTGCTACCTGTAGTGAAAGTGTCAAGTCCTGAGCTTCAAGAGCTGAGCCTGACTGAATGCAATGCCTGAAGACCCTGCTCTTGGCTTGCAATTTTTGTACTTTAAGCATCTTTTCTGCACTAGCAGTATCATGGTCTTGGCCAGTTCCTCTCCCAGCAGTCAGGGAATGGGCTTATTTTCTGGCATGTATCCAGCACCTGTGAAGTTGTTAAAGGTGCTCTTGTTCCAGCTTAATGCTGACACAGGCCTTATCTGGCCACCCCAGCTAAGTGTAGCCTACATATAATCAGGATTGGAAGCTTCCAATGGAATTGCAAACTACTCTCTACAGCTTCATGAGGAGGGGAAGCGGAGAGAGAGGTGTTGATCTCTTCCTGATATCCTGTGACAGGATGCATGGGAATGGTTCAAAACTGCATCAGGGGAGGGTCTGACTAGATGTTAGAAACATTTCTTTACTGAGAGGGTGGTCAGACACTGGAACAGTCTTCCTAGAGATGTGATTGAAGTAGTCAGGCAATTGGACTAAATGATGGCTGTCAGTCCCTTCTAACTGAAGTTTTTTTTTCCTATTTCTAGTCTATCGTATTCCATACTATTTTATTCTATTCTATTCTAGGATAATGCGAGGAACAGGGATTTTGGTTCTCAGTCAGTAGCAACAATGACATCACTTGCCACATTATCCAAGTTCAATAGAGCCATAAGGTATCTCAGAGGTCATGGTGGACAAGCACACAGGAACTAGTGTTAGCACAGATGCCACGTGGCCGCATCTTGTTTCTGCGAAGTGACAGTAGTCAGAGCTGTCAGATCACACAGATTGATAGGTACCAGCTATTTCAATGTAAATGCAATTTGAACCATGAAGACATCCTTTTTGTAAGATTCAACATTGTAGCTCCCTCATTCCTACCCAATCCTTG